CGTTGAAGAAATGGCAATAAATAACCTAAAAAAATTTATAATATAAAGAATAAATAAAATAAATTTTTATAGATATATATTACATACACGTTAATCGTCCGAGATGAAAACCAGTCGAAAAAAATGGTAGTGCATCGTGTATTCGTTCTGGTAAACATGATAATATCAAAATTAAATCGGCAATATTGACATTAATTATATAATAATATGTTGATGTATGCATTGTTTTATCTTTTAATATTGCTAATATAACAAGACTATTACCCGTAAATGCTAATAATATAACAAAAGCAAATACGAATAACCAGGCAATATTAAATAATGGTAATGTAATGGACATGGCCAAGCATGTTCTAAAAAATCATTTTTTAGCGTCTATAAAAATGAAAATGAAAATTATTAGTCTTTATTCATTTTGTATGGAGATTATTGTCAACAATAAACAGAAAGGGCACGAAATAAAAAAAATATTCTTGTTTTAATTATGTAATCATAGTAAACTGTCATTATGCTATGCACGTCATCAAACCTGGTAACAGAATAATGAGCAATTAATTAGAAGTCGAATCGTGACAATTGTATCATCAGTACCAAAAAACAGGAAAAAAACTCATATATTTTATTAATTTAATTGCTACATTGTCTCTCTCTTTCTCTCTCTCTCGCTCTCTCGCTATCTTTCTCTCACTTTAATTGTCTTGATTGTATTGAAAATATTAGATACATGCACGAAGTAGTGAAGAGCTATACATTTGCCATCAAAATAAAAAAAAAATTGTAAGAAAATATATTTTAACAAGTAAAGAGAATGCTGCTTATCGTTAACAAAAGTATATATAGCCTATAATGGAATAAAATTCAGAGAAAAAGAAGAAGAAAACCGAAGATTTATGACAATATATCTTTTATCTAAAATATGCAAACATATAATGAATTATTTGAAAGAAAAAAAGAAAACGAAAAGAATATAAAAACTATAGTCAGTGAGTTATGATCAAATATTTTATCCGACGAAAGATACTTTCTTTTTTTTTTTCTTCTTCTTCTTCTTCTTCTTCACATTGATCGAGAATTTTAGCAAGTATTTCTTGATTTTATTTCTTAATTGAATGTATTTGAAAGTCCGATTAACTTGACAAATAGTTGACATATCATTATACATACTGTTAATGGAAAATATACTCATAAATCTGACGATATTCGTCTACTGAGAATAGTTAAACTGTCGCATGAAAAGATTATTATCAAATGTTTATTCATGCACAGAATGAATATAAGAGTAAGTGAAGTATATAATAAGTTTGTCACAGATTATACAATTTTAAATTTTCTCTTGTTTTTCTTTTTTTTATCTAATTATTATATAATTATCATTTTATTTCTAATATCTACAAATAAAATTTATTAACATTGTAGTTGTTTGTTTTTAGTTAATATATTTTAAAAATAAAAATTAGAAATTATTTACTTAAACATGATCGAATGTAGTTTTGCATATTCGTCAAGATTTCATTTTACCATGAAATTTATAATATTAGCTAGTAAAATCTATTAAATAAAGTGAACACTAGTTTAACTTGAATACATATGAGAAAAATAAACAGTTGTCTTTATCGTTTCTCTTTCTCTCTATCTATTATTTTACAGTAAAATGTATAAATAGTCTCTCAATCTTTTCCAGACACACATTACGTTACAAAAACAAACATCTCAAAAAAACAAAAAAAGGTTTGTTGCAAATGTCTATCACTAGTATGAAACATAATGATGCAATCAATATAAGCCAATAGGATGTTTTTCTACTATCTATCAAAATTTTAAGTGAAATAATTAAAGTCGATCATTGATAGACAGAATTTCACATAAAAATTGATAGATAGTAGAAAAACATGCTAT